ACAGGGTTCTTCCTCCTTACCATTACCACTATTCTGGTTGACTTCTTCTATCATTTTAGCAGCTACTCCTTGTTCTTTGTTTAATCTCTTCACCCAGTCCAACAGGAGTACAGAAACTCCCACCCACAACCCTTTCTTCCTTCTGGAAAACACACTACCTGTTTTATTCCATTGCCAAAGAACTCATAGAGAGCTATGAACGATCCTTTAACATTCCTCTTGCACTTTGCTACATACCTCCTATACGAAGTTCTAGTGGGAAATAGCTCCTATCACAAAGGTTTCAAACCATTCAATACTCTCTTTACCAATCATCCGCACCATAGCCATCTTCTTCTCTCTAATTTTTAACCTTGGTCTTCCTCTGATTCTCATTTCCTCAAAGAGAAGATCCTTAGCTTTGATTTTTGGTGTGTCCGGAAGCGTGTCGTTAATCACTTTGGAACACCAGTTTTAATATTTATAAATTTTCCGATTCTCAAAATAACTACAAAACGCAGTTAGTGGTGAGAAAGGGGTTGTATCCATAGGGACGCGAGGGAAAAATTCTTACGTACTTCAATCCGGACAAAATAACAAGATTTGAGATTGCAGAAACACAAAATTTAATTAACTGAACTGGAATCCATTAAAATAAAATTCTAACAATGCTGAAAGTAAAAATTGCAAAAAATAAATAAATAACAGAAATAAAAAAAAAACTAAATAAAAAATCTACAACTCGGTCAGAGGTAGCAATCTCTGGATCTATCCTTTGGCCCTCGAACTCCTCGAGCTAGGCCTTCCGTCTTACCTGGCCGAATTTCAGATTTGCAGAAAGGAAGACAAAAATTAAATTTGATAAAAATAAATTGCAAAAAAAAATAAAAATTGGAATTTAAAGAATGGAAAATAAAAACACGCATAAAAAGTAAATCTAAAACTATGGGAAACTGGTTGGGATCAGAATCCAGAGGTGGCAGTAGTGGCTAGGCGAACTGCATGCAGGAACCCCTCTTGCTTGGGCGTTCTCCTCTTCCTCTACCCTTGGACTTCTCAAGAACAGCCTTCTGTCTTATCTGGGGGCAAAATCCAACCTAAAAAATAACATAAAAGAAAATAAAGAAAGCGAAAGTGATGGTTGATCAAATCCAGTGGCGGCAGTTGCAAATTGGCTGGACTACTTGTAGGAATCCCTTCTGACAAGATCTGGGCGTCCTTCCTTTCTACAACCCTTGAACGCCTTGTGAACTGGGTGAATTGACCAACCCCTTCTCCAGGGCCCTTGGGGTCCTTTTTATAGAGAAGGGTGGACAAAACTGGGATTAGAGAGAAAGAGAGGGGCGGCAGCTGGGTTTTTGCAGAAATATGGGCGCCCTAGGGTTGAAAATGGAGGGTTAGGATTGTTCTAAGGTGATCCTAAGGTTGAGCAGAGAAGGAGAGGGTGCCCAATATTATGTAGGGTTGAAATTTGGGCACCGGAATGGAGGGAGCAGATTTGGGCGCCTAGAGCTGGAGAAATGTGATTGGTTGGTGTGATCTGGCGTCTTAAGGTGATTGGTTGACGTTTAAGGAGTGAGGTGTAAGGCTAGGATGCTGTCTAGAGAGAGATCTAAGGGTATGAGGGGCTGCTAAGGCTTGGATGGTTGAGATTAGATGTTAGGGAGGAGTGGAAGGTGAATATTTAGCAGTTGGGGGCGGCTAGAGTTTGTTAGAAGTGAAAAGAATGAGTGGGGAGGCGCCCTAGGGTTTGCTAAGGAGAGGGGAGTATGCTAATACAGTAGGAGGGGCGCCTATCTAGATTTGGCAGATAGGAAGCGCCCTCTTGTGCTTAGTTTTTCACAGAAACACCCCCTCTCTCAGCTGGAATTCACACCGGCTTCCCAAAAACTGCATTTCAGCCCTAAGTGGCTAACCTATAGATTTTCAAGCATTACATTGAACACATGTAAGACACAACAAGTCTTGGTACTGGAAACACTTGGAAAATAGAGCAACTTTGATTGGGCATCTTCTTTTCTTTCACTATCTTATTAAATAGTTTGGCTAGCCATAACAATTCTTCCTCTTCCAGACCTTTCCATACTTCTAATGGAATCCCATTAGGTCCTAACATCTTTCCCTTCTTTATCTTATTTAGTGCCTTTACTTCAATAGGTTCAACTCTACGAAGGTACATATTATTTTTAACACTACTGATATTGCTAGATTTTCTTCTATTAGCACTCCGCCTTGTTGTTCATTTGGTAATTTTTCAAAATAGTTTTTTCATCTTTGCTTGATTTCCTTATCTTTTATCAAGATTCTTTGATCTTCATCTTTAATGCACCTAATTGTTTAAATCTCTGCCTTTCCTTTCTCTTAGTTTTGCTATTTTATACATGCCTTTTTCTTCCACTAATGTATAAACTAGCAAAGCTAACAGTAAGGAAAGGCAGAGATTTAAACCATATTAGGTGCATTAAAGATGAAGATCAAAGAACCTTGGTAAAAGATGAGGAAATCAAACAAAAATGGAAAAGCTATTTTGAAAAACTATTAAATGAACAACAGGGAGAGGGTGTCCATGATTATCTGTTTAATAAATATAGTGTTGCATGGACTCTCCTAAATGGATTTTGGGTCCATGTTGGACACATGTTGGAGTATGATACTCTAAAGATTCTTGGGGACACTTCTACATAACATTTCCTTTTCATCTCCTAGTTTATATGACATAAATAGACAGTGGATTTGCAAGATCAATGCTATTTTAAATATCAAATACTTCTTCGTAACAATGGCAACATTGTAGACCCCTTTTTGCATTACAGGTTTATAATGTTAGAATTCCAAAATATGAACTAGTTTAGTAGTATATACTTTTCCATAGATGTGTTCATGACTCCATGTTTTCTCATATTGCTGGTTTGGCACTTCAACATGTGTTGGATTTTGACTTCTATGTCTTTGTCCATGCAACACTGTATAAGTATAGATCTTGTGACTTGTTGAACTAAAGGTTGGCCCATCCTAAGTGTCTCTGGGGAAGTTTGTCTACCTTTTATTGCCTTAGAAGAGTAACTGGTGGATGTCTTTACTAGAGGAGTTTCCCAAGCCTACGTTACAGAATTATGTAAGAAATCTGGGCATAATTGACATCTATGCTCAACTTGAGGGGGAGCGTTGAGCTGATAGGATGGGCCAACCTTTTAGTTTTCATCCTTCTTTTATTTCCTTTGTTCTAGTGGGCCCAAAGCTAGCTCTTTTATGTGTTTTCTCTTATAGCCACCCTGTTGGTGGCAACCTTTTAATTATACCATTCTTTATGTTAAATCTAATAAAATATGTTTGAAGGGGCTGGGAGAGAGTTAGGATCCTTTCTTCCCAAACTCGTTTCTTCTCCTCTCTACTATATTCTTCTCCCCTATTGTTCTAAACCAGGTTTTTCTATATTTCTTTGGTTTAATACATTGATTTATTGCTGTTTTGATCGACTACTTGGTATCAGAGCCTGTTTGAGCAAGTGGTGTAGTGACATTAGCGTTTGATCCTCGCTGCTCCCATTATAATTAATTAAATTTCAGCACAAGGTATGGATAGGCCTGTGCTTGTCCTTGCTTCAAGCCCGATGAACTTTTGCGTAAGGGAGCATGTTAGAAAATAAAACTTATTGATGGACTTCACCTAATAGCTTAAGCTTTTAGACTGAATGGTTCTTTTGAGATGATAGCAGAGAAGGGTTCTGTCCTCTTCTCTTTCTTCTTGAACCCATATGCTTCTAGAATCAGCAGGGTGTATGGAGAGTTGAAGTGCTGATCATCTTTTAATGCTATTTCCTGGTTGGGAGTGAGGCTAGGAGACCTTTTTCTTCTGTTGTGCTGCCCAGAATATCTCTGGAGATTTCTGCCCTAGAACTGAACTAACCTGAGGAGGTCAATTTCAGTTTATGGCATATAGGGGATGATTGAGACTGGTGCTTGGGGATCTGCAAAGTTCTTTTTAAGTGCCTATTGAGATCAATAATAGAGAGACAGTTTGGGGGTCACAGCAAGGAGCAGCTGCAACCTCCTTACTTTCTCCTGGGATCCAGGGTTTGTGTAATCATGTTTGTCTTTGGAGGTCAGTTATTTTGAGGCTGTTTTATCTTTTACTCATTTACAGTACCTTTTTTGGTGAGTTTTTGAATTGATGGAGCAATCTAAAAATGGTTGAAAGCTATATATGGAGCCCAAGATTGGTCCGACTGGGTTTATAGATCAATTTTTCAATACTATCGTAACAAATAAGGCCCACTAGAACAAAACAAAGGAAATAAAAGAAGGGTGAGAAATAAAGGATGGCATATCCTATCAGCTCAACATAATTCTTTTTTATATTCTTCTTATTAATTCTAGTTGTTGGTTAATTGTCTAAATAAGCCTAAAACTAAAGATTGAGTTTAATCAATGTGATCCAGTTGAACTTGAGCTCAACTATTAGTTCATGATTGTCAAGCATGTTATTATTGTAAAGTTTGTCTCTTTTATGTTCCAGTCCCTAAGAGTTCTAGGAAAAGTCAGATCCCTCTAAGACCTGGTGTAGATAAAGCAAGAGGACTAAATATGAACTTCTTTAAATTGTGATAGTCTATAGAGGGATGCTCTTTATTTGTTGTGTATTTATCTTTTTTTTAGGTATTTAGAACTTCTGTTGTGTTTCCCTTTTTCATGTTGTTTCTCCCCTTTCTGGTGTCATGCCTTTGAGGAAAAAAGGAAAAAGAAGAAAAAAAAAATAATGTAAATATTGACAGAAGAGATGCTCATATTGTATCCATTTTAGTTTCCTCTATTTTAATTAAATGCTATTTCACTAATGATATTCCACTCTGAGTTATTAGGCAATTTTGCAATTTTGAGAGTTCTAATCATTGATTCTGACTTGTATTTTAGCTTTGTGGTAAATCCTTTTTCTTTTCATATTGACATAGTCTTCCATCTAGTTTGTTTCATGTACCCCAGTTTGCTTATGGTGGTGAGTTGTGTATTTCCTGTGGCCAACAGGACTTTGTGCATTTAATTAGTAGGATTCGTGGTTCAGGATTACATGACCAGGATATGGGTTACTTCAATATTATAGTGAAGATGAGGTATACTAAAAAAGTATTGCTGCTTTCCGGTTAATTTCCTTTTCTTTCTACCTTTTTTTGTATTCATCTCATGCACTTTTTTTTTATTAATTTACCATGTGTTATGTGATGGCATTTACTACCCCTTTGTTTACCTGCCTTTGATACCTGTATACCTGTATCATGTTAGATACTTCAAAATTTTGCCTAAATTTTCCATTGATTGAACACCTTGTACAGCTGTGTCCTTGCCATATCTATGTAACATAGGTGTAGGGCTGGATGCTCTATTAGAGATGAGTGGGCTGAAAACTTCAATTAGTGACTCAAGGCGATGAATTGTAGTTCGAGGGGAGTTTATTGGAGCTACCTAAAGTTTCTATTTCAGAATTAGCAATTTATCAATCACTCCCTAGATCGATGATATCTGCAAGAACTAAGAAAATAGATCTGGAATTGAAATTTTCAATGAAATTGATATGAAATTGCTCTATTAAATACTTATTGTTGTAGTATTAGTTTTGAAAATAATGAAATTAATATATATAAAAGATTTTTATCTTTTAGATATGATTATTTGCAATACTTTTAGAGGAATCACACTTAATGGTAAATTCCTGAGAAAAATCTGGTAATGTGAGAGTGGGAGGTGTAGCTACAACATGCTTGAGTGCCTTGAAATCCTGTTCAGCTTTGTCATCCCAAATAAAAGCTCCCTTCATCAGTAACTGTGTTAGCAGGACTGTGATTGCACTATACACTCTAATAAACTCCCGGTAAATCGGTAATACCCAATCAGACCAAGAAAACTGCAGAGACCCCTTATTGAAGTGGGTTTGTGGCCTTTGGGCCAGTTGAGCATACCTTGAATTTTGGTAATTTCTGCTGAAACTTGACCCGCCTGAACAATATGACCAAGGTAGTAGACTTCAGACTGGCCAAAAGTACATTTGAGGGTTTAGCATACAATTTATTGCTTTGCAAATTTTCCAAAGTCTTCCAAAGATGGATAAGATGGGAGGCCCAATCCTTGCTGTAAATTAATATACCTTCAAAGAATACCAATAGGAACCACCTCAGAAATGGCCTAAATATCCCATTCATCGCTGCTTGAAACGTTGAGGGAGTATTAGTCAAGCCAAACGGCATGAGAAGGAACTCATAGTGGCTCTCATGGATTCAAAAAGCGGTCTATTGCACATCATCCAGGTAAATTTGGATCTGGTGATAGCCAGACCACAGGTCTAGCTTTAAAAAAAATCTGCGCTCCCTTCAATTCATCCAATAGCTCGTCAATTACTAGAATTGGAAATCTGTCTTTGATGGTGATCAGGTTAAGTGCCTGGTAATCAACACTGAACCTCCATGTTCCGTCCTTCTTACAAGTAGAACTGGAGAGGAATATGGGCCAGAACTGGGTTGGATCCACCCTTTGTTTAACAAATCTTGAACAATATGTTCAATTTCTGCCTTCTAAAAATGCGGGTTGGTATCTATAAGGGCATAGATTTGTCTGGTAGCCCTTTGAACAATGGGAGTTTGGTGGTCTCAAATTATGGTTGGAGGTAAAGATTTGGGCTCTCCAAACACATCCTAAAACTCTTGTAGCAACTGTTGGAGGTCCAAGGTTTCTGACGGGTCAGCTCCCTTAGTTTCTAGGCTGTGTAGTTCCCCTCCCTCCCTGTCTGGGTCCATGTATATCAATACCACTGGGTCCATGTGCGTACAGTATTTGAAGACCAACCGGCTCATTTCATGTTGTGGGGTGGTTGGGCTTCAGCCCACTAAGCCATAGGTCTGCCCATTAACAGTGAACTGCATGGAAAGTTTAGCCCAATCATGGATAACAGGGCCCAAGCTACTAAGCCATTGAATTCCGAGGACAATATCTGCCCTTTGGAATTCTAGAGGATGAAGGTCGACAGAAAACTGATTTTCCCATATTTTCATCTCGACTACATGACAAATCCCATCACAAGTAAGATGGTTTCCCATCGGAAACATGCATCAGAAACAAATAATGAGGCTCAGTTGTCAAGTAAATAGCTCAATAATTAAATTCAGAGTACTGCTATCTATTAAAATAGAAAGTGTTTCTTGATCATACCTTCCACCTGCATTGTTTTTGGCACAGATTGGTCTATTAGAACCTAAAGTGATATCTCTGGTGCCTCATCACTCTTGTCTACACAATCCGATTATTGTTGCTCAGGCCCAAGTGTTTCACCCTCTTTGTCATCCTCCATTTACAGAACAAACAGTTGCTGCCTCTTACATCTGTGACCTAGGGAGAACTTCTCGTCACAATTGTATGACCTAGAGGTAAGTCTCTTACTTAGTTGGGAGGTCAGGTGAGTTTATATCTGTGGAGGTGTTAGTTGAGAAGGTGGTGTTGGATGGTTCAACTGGTATTGTGGGGGAGACAGATACCAAATCTTCTCTTCATAGGGGAGATATTAGTGCTGCTAATGGAAACAAAAGTAATGAAAGTGATGAAGTGGTTGAACAAGGTTTGTCAAAGGAAACAGATGGGAGTGCTATGGTGGTTCACAATGAGGAGGATTTTCTTGTCTCTTTCAGGTAGCTGTTTCTTGTCTGATCTGTGGGTAATTGGATCTCAATTTCCTGTCATCCTTGCAGTTTCCACCATTGGAAGCCCCAAGTAAAAAAAGGAAGATGCCCAACCCAGATGCCTTGCAGACACTCCTCCAGAAATGTCTAACCTTTCAATTTCTGAACCAATTATTTATAACGTGGACAGTGACTCAAAACATCTAAGAACTGCCTTTCAAATTTTTAGTCCTATGACCCACTCACGATCTGGTCCTAGGAAAACCAGTTTTCTAAACTAACTGTTAATGAATGAGAACAGATGGAACATTGTAAGCCATCCAAAATCCTCTTATGCTTTCGAATTCCACCTTTACCAAGACCTGCTTAAGGTCTCCACTAAGATGAGACTCAAAATCCTCTTACTAAGAAAAGAAAGGTTAAAGAGTCTCCTTGGCTTATATTGATCATTCAACAAACATTTTTTTGTTGTTAGGATTTCAATTTTCAACAACCTGACATTGTTGCCCATAAATGTGTTTTATTTCTTCAGCTTTTGAAGTTTCCCTATGCAATTTGTTCTCAGTGTTTTCTTGTCATCTCAGGCATCAGGTCAATCACTTTGTATCTACTTTACAGCAATATGTGCAATCACAATTGTCACAAGTATCCTGGTGCAAATTTCTGCATTCCCTGAAGCATCAGGTTTGTGTCATTTTATTCTCAACTCTTATATTTTGAATTATGTGCATATGAGTATATACTAGTATGCATACATCGAATGAGAAGAAGCTATTCTATGTGTAAAAGCCCATCAATTTTTCTAGGTGGATAGCAAACGTTATATCTTTCTTGTAGTTAATACTTAGCTCAAAATAACATTCAAGGATTGCTTTGAAGTTAGAAATGTGAATGTAACTTGGCATCCTACTTTTAGGGAGAGAGATTGAGGAATGCATCATTCTGTTCTAGAGATTGGAAGAAGTAGAAGTGTCACCAAATGAACAGGAAAAAGGTGGTGGAAATAGTTTGCTAGTGGGAAATTCACCGTTAAATCCTTTTATAAGACTAATCAGAAATCAGGGTGTCTACGGGAGTCAGAGGGGTGTGGGGAAGTCCAATTCCTCCAAGGGTTGAAGCATTTGCATGGTTATTTGCACTGGAAAACATTCTTACATTGGATCATGTAGATAGTTGTTAGTGTGGTCCCACTTTATATTATTTATGTTAATTCATGGTAGTTATGTCAGTTATATATGTTTTTCTTTCTTATGTAGGTAGCAGGGGTATTAGTGGAACTTCACTAATGTCTAATTGCAAACATATAAATAGATGAGTGGGGTGGCAAGACTTAACTAACCACACCCTTTTTCTTTTTCTCCTCCTTCTCTTCTCTCTTCTTCTACTCTGCTCTCTGTTTATTTTTCTTCTCTTTTCTTACTGAATTCACATCAGAATGCAAGGAGATTATAGTTTCTTTTATTCAAGTTGGCATCAGAGCCAACCTTGGGTTGATTAGGGTTCTCATGTGAGCCTGATCCAGTCAGCTGCATGAGAACTTCCTAGGCTGGAAGTTCTGTGTCATCGCTAGATTCTTGGAGGTTGCTGGAGACTTGAGTTGCTGCCCAAGGGATTGCATGACCTTTGGAAAGTGCCCAGTGACCAGGAAGGATCAGAGAAAATAGGCAAGTTCAAGATTAGGGTTTAAACTGAAGATTGAAGGTAGTGATCAGTATTCCTTTTTTATTGAGATTGGATACTGAGTAGAAACAGTTTAAACTGTTCTGGAAGGAACGGTTGACAGATTCCTGTTTTCCCTGAATTTTCTCTAGGGTTTTCAAACCCTAGGATCAGTATTTCCAGTCTTCAGGCTTATTATCCTAACTGATAATAACTTTTGGGTTGTTGTCCTTGGCTGTGAATAATTTCTGGGTGGCTGATCTTGACTGTGAATAATTTCTCATGGGTTTACCTTATGCACTCTCAAGATGAAGTCCCTACTTTGACTCGGGCTTTCCATTAGATGGTATTGACCCAATTTGGAATCGTAATCAAATTCTCAAATGTGACAATGTCAAGGAGTATTTTGCAAAGCCCTTGGCTTCATATTTCCTTGACTATGGGGTTATCCATCAGAGAACTTGTCCTCATACTCCTCAACAAAATGGGGTTGCTGAGAGAAAGAATAGACATATCTTGGAGGTAGCTAAAAGCATTATGTTGAACTCTAATGTTCCCATACGTTTCTAGGGTGGTGTTATCCATACAGCTGTATACCTCATTAGTAGAACTCCTTCCTGGGTTTTAGACATGAAAACACCATTTAACCTTGATAAAACTCAGACTAGATGTTGTATAAGTTTAGATCAGAAGAAAGAAGAGACGAAGAGAGAGAAGAAGGAGAAGGAGAAGAAGGAGAAAAGGTCACAGCCGAACTAGAGAGAAAAATTCAAATCTCTCTAGTCGGCCCTTCCTTTATTTATACTCTTCTAAGATATACAAGAATTGCCATTGTTCCCTCACTTAAGTGAGAGCCACATCAGCTGAACAATACATATATAACTAAACATAAAAGGACTATGCTACCCTTGTACAGCCGGCTCTAACAAACCTACTATTATCTAAACAAGCATCTATTCACTATTCCCCTTAAAACCTTTGAGTGTACTTGTTTTGTTCAAATTCTTGGACCTCATTGCTCCAAATTTGATTCCAAAGCTGCCAAGTGTATCTTCCTTCGGTATATAGAATTAAAGGGATATTGCTGTTATGAACATATTTCTGGGAGATGGTTTGTGTATGGATGTCGCATTTTTTGAGGATGTTCCCTATTATCATAGGGTTTCTTCTAAGGGGGAGAGTAGTGAGACGAGTATTTCAGCCCCATAAGTGTTGTTACCTAATCCAGTCATTGAAGGGGAGTGTGTGGTGAATAGGGTTGTCAGAAGTGTAAGGAGTTGAGGGTGTTTCACAGGTGGTGGAGGTAGGTTGATTTTGGTCCTTAGTAGTCTAGGCTGACCCCAATCTCTTGTACGGCTCTAGATCCAAGCACCACAGCTCCTATTACCTATTATTATAGATGATGTGCCTATCACTATTGACCTCAACCTCCTCCTTCAGATGACCTTGATCTCCCAATTGTAATTCTTAAAGGGAAGCACCATTGTACTTCATCCACTACTCACTATATCTCCTAGTTCCTTTCTTATAATTGTCTTTCACCATCCTATAAATCTTTTTCAACATCTATTGTTGCTATTTCTATTCCTAGAACAGTGCAGGAAGCCTTGTTGATACTTGAGTGGAAGGATGCAATGAAGGTAGGAATGGACGCTCTTATTAAAAACAATACATGGGAGTTAGTTGACTAGCATAAAGGGAAGAAACTTGTTGGGTATAGATGGGTGTTTACAATGAAATACAATGTTGATTGATGGCTCCGTTGAGAGATATAAGGCCAGATTGGTTGCAAAGGGATTCATACGAACCTATGGCATAGATTATTTGGAGATATTTGCACCAGTGGCCAAGATGAACATTATCAAAGTCTTGTTGCTTTTGGCTGCAAATTTCTTATGGCCATTGTTCCAAATGAATGTTAAGAATGCCTTCCTCAATGGTGATGTGCAAGAGGAGGTGTACATGGAACTACCCAGTACCCCCTAGATTTTATAGTACAGAAGCAGGAAATAAGGTTTGCCAACTGAAGAAGGCTTTATATGGGTTGAAACAGTCTCCAAGAACCTGGTTTGATAGATTTAGACCGACTTTGGAAAAGTTTGGCTATATGCAAGCTCAATCAGATTACACTCTTCTTTGACTCTACTTATTGTATATGTAGATGATATTGTAGTGACAAAAAGTGATACTAGTGAGATTAGTTCTCTTAAGCAGCTACTTCACCAGGAGTTTGAAGTGAAAGACTTGGGAGAACTACGTTACTGCTTGGGAATTGAGGTAACCCGATCTAAACAGGGCATCTTTGACTCCCAAAGAAAGTACGTTCTTGATTTATTGGAAGAAACTGGGAATTTAGGAGTTAAACTTACTGACACACCAATTGAGCAGAACCATAAGATAAGTGCAGGAGATCTACCTCTAGGTATTATGCTTTTGTAAGGGGAAATCTTGTTTCTTGGATAAATAAGAAACAAAGTATTGTTGCTCGCTCCAGTGCTGAAGTTGAGTACAAGTGAGGTTTTTGCTTGATGAGCTGGGTGTTGAATATGGGAAGCCTCTAATACTGTATTGCGACAATCAAGCTACCATTAACATTGCTCACAATATAATACAGCATGACAAAACTAAACATGTTGAAGTGGACCGACACTTTATCCCAGAGAGTTGCATCTCTAGAAGTGTGTCTTCCCTATATTGCCTTAGATATGCAGCTTGCTGATCTCTTCACTAAGGCAGTTGCAGAGACCAATTTGGAGACAGATTTACGCAAGTTGGGAATGACCAATATCTATTCCCAACTGGAGGGGGAGTGTAGAGATAATTGTTAGTGTGGTTCCACTTTCTATTTGTGTTTGTCTTTATGTTATTTATGTTAATTCATTGTAGTTATGTCAGTTGTCTTTATGTTCCACTTTGTAGGTGGCAGGGGTGTTAGTGGAACTTCACTAATGTTTAATTGCAACATAGAAAAGATGAGTGAAGCAGCAAGACTTAACTAACTGCACCCTTTTTCTTTCTCTCCTCCTTTTCTTCTCCTCAGTTCTCTGTTTATTTTTCTTCTCTTTTCTTACTGAATTCACATCAGAATACAAGCAGATTATAGTTTCCTTTATTCAAGTGATCATTTGAAAAGTAAAGGATTTCATTTGGCAAACCAGTGCTATATGTGCTAGTAAAAATGAAGGGTCTATGGTGCATCTGTTACTCAATGTAGTGTGGCAGACTTCATCCGGAGATACTATGCAGATTTGGTGGGGAATCCTAGGTATGATCCAACTAATTCTTGAGAAATCTTCTCTAAGTGACCTAGAATCAGTGGAAATAAAAAATTAAGGATCCTATGGGGTGCAGTTCCTTTTGCAATCTATTGAGGGATTTGGAAAGAAAGAAATAGAAGAGTTATTGAAGACAAATGCAGAGACATAAAGAATAGTGGCTGACATCAGATCATTATTGATGGATTGCCTACTGGTTCATTTGGTGTTTAATTAAACTTCTAGAGCTTCTTTTGGTTCAGACCTTTGGACCACTCTTGATATCTGGGATATATTGCAGTTCGAGGTCTACTTTGGTTGTGGAGATGTTATTTCAGTTGGTGTTTTGAATTTTGGCGGAATTAGATCTTGGCAGTTATTATATGTTGTATCATCAGTTATTTTCTTTTTAAATAAAATCCTCCTTTTCCTTATAAAAAAATTATATCCTTCCAGGAAAATTAGTTTCGAGGTAGTAATTGAGTTTTAATTTAGTTCTTTTACTAGCAAGAAAGCTTTGGCTATTTACTAATTTTGTCTTCACCAAAGGCTCGAATTCAAGGGTATTGTAACTGATCTCACTATTCCCTTAATTCAAATCCTACTCTATAACCAACTTTTTTCAGGTTGCACCTGTATCTTTTGGCTACAGTAAAACAAATTTTCTAGAAAGTGCTCCTTGTAGATAGAGAATAATACATGGATAACTGTAAAATGTGATCGGTAGGGGCGATGACACAAAGTAATTGACAACTTGGACTGTATGGTCAG